TTTGACCAATGATACAATAATCAGAGATATACAAAGATATGAAAGGCATTGAAGTGGGCTAAGGATCCGATTTGAGTGTTTACTAAAGGTTCTATGAACAGGAGGACAAATGTGAACTGTTTTAGTAATGTGTGGTTGATGATCAGTACTGGCCTGGACACTGAAAATCTCTCCTGTCGTCCCAATCCTATTCAAGTAGTACTATGATATATTTGTAACTGAGAGGGCAGACAAGGTTCCATTTTAAGGTCTTAATTTGAAAGACAGCACCTTCAACAGGACAACACTATCTTTTTTGGATTGAAGTGCCACTTAGATTAACTGGCCAGATTATGGAATGGGATTTGAGCCCACAATCTACTGTCTGAGATGAAAATGCTGCTGCTACGAGAAGGTTGATTGGTTGATGGCAGAATTTTTTGGACCAGTCACACAATATCTGGAGGTGGAAAGTGAAAAGAAAGTATTTTGTAAATTGTGATGCAGTAAAAAAAAAATTTGTATGTAGATATCTCCCGCTTCTGTTTGGTTTCATCCACACACAAATTATACAAAGGTAATCAAAGATGCTGGTCCTTTGTTTTGGCATGCAAACAAGTGTTTTTGTTAATATATGTCCATTCCTGAAATCTTCTCAATGCTCTGTGAAGGCATAGTGCCATACCTTGTGGGGAAACGACATCTCACTCTAAATTAGGATTTTTCGTTATTCTTCAGATCAAAACATTTTTGTGGTATAACTTTCTGGATGTTAATTGTGCAGAAAAGGCAATGGGCCTTGGGGAACATGACTGAAGAACAAAACCAACAGAGTTAGTTTATGAATGAGGTTTAAAGTATGTAGTAGAAGGGAAGGGCAGAGAAGGAAATAAGGTGAATTAGAGTCAAATTAGATATAGGAAAATAAATAAAGAGAAGGAAAGAGAGATTAAATTTGCAGAGAGAAAAACAATCCACTACCTGAATTAATGAGGTTCCACAATTTGTTCTTTTTACAGGACAGAAAGGTTGATTGGCATTCTTTTAGCAATTATCAGGTTGTTATTTGTACTATTAATTATAAGGCTTAAATTTCTGTATAAATTTTAACTGGCGATTAATGTGCAACTCCATCAAGTTTTGTTTTTAAAAACGACAGTGAGGCTCGGGGTGAAATGTGTTTGTAAAAGCAAAAAGCTGATAAAGTAAATTGAACAGTAACACATAGTTAATACCAGCTTGTGCATTAATTCAGTTCATAGGTCCTTGCTGCATTTCAGTTCCATTGAGATGGGCTGTCATCTAGTACGTCAACCAAGTGACAGAAGTCACATGTGATCAGTGAGAGCTGAAGGGTGGCCTCGAGCAGAAAGGGAAATTGGGAAATAAATGCTTGCTTTACTGTCAACAAGCATATCCCATTAATGATTAAAAACATGAGTTGCTGAAAAGAGAGACAAGTTGGTGAAGCTCTTCGTCTTGCCCTCATAAGGACAAATGCCAAACAAAAAATCGGTGAGGAGCCTCACAGCTGAGCGAGCTAAATTCTGACCAGGACTGCAGTTTTTTATGCATCCAGCTAAGATTTAGGAACACGAAGAAGGTTATTCAGCCCTTCAAACCTGTTCCACTATTCAAGGATTGGTGTCCTTCATTGGTAACTCCGTCTACCCATCCTGGTTTCCTAAACTTTAAGATGCATGCCTAACAAAGAATTTTTCAGTTTCAGTTTTAAAGACAAAACTTTGTGCCCTGCTCCACAGAGCATTTGGTGATGACAGAGTATATGACCCTGCCACCACCTTACATCCTGTCCTATGAAATTTAGCAGATGATGATGATGAGGGGACAGCCTACTCATTCAACTTTAATTGATGCCCTTGGGACACATTGGGACGTTATCCTTCCAACGTTATTGTTAACCTAAAGACAAGCAAGGAGCTCGCAGTGAAAGGACCATAACAAGCTGATGCTTGATATTTCCTTATAGAGTCTGAGTCAGTGGCCTCTCTCATGTCAAGACACTCAGTTCCTGGTTGTTTTAGGGGTGGTACCACTGCCAAAGAACTCCTGCTGACACTGCTGACCAACCTCCACCATGACTTCCACTTTGTGACCCTGCTTCTGCCATTACTCCCTTGTGCCTTATGTTCCGGGGACCATGCTAGTTCTTACGTGGGTTTGTAACAGGCAGCAGCCAGTGTCCTCCCATTGGCATTGCCATTCATTGGAGTTTTCTTCTGGCAGAACCTCCATTTAGGGAAGGTGCAACGCTGGCCACATGCAGTGTCTATTTATGGCAAGGTGCGATTGCCTTCCTGACTAAAGGTTACATTAGGTCTTGCTGGTATCCCTTCTACCAGTCATCTCTGCAAGATTCCTCCCACAGTTTCCAGGCAAGCCTTAACCTCAGCAGCTGTTTTGCAGGATGGAGTTCCAGATTTCCATTACCTTTATTGTGAACCAGTGCTTTGAAACATCATTCCTGAACTGCATATCTCCACTTTTTAAATTTGTCCTTTCTTGTTCTTGACTACCTCCTTTAATTATTTTAAACACCCCAATCAGATTACCTCCTTATCCTCTATTTCAAGGGAATTAAAACTTATTCAATCCAAACTGCCCTCACAACTTGGCTCTTCTGGCCTTGGTATAATGTTGAGGAAATTTTCTGTTAATATCTTCTGAAAAATAACCTTAGACCATAGACATTATTCAACCAATACCCTAAAGTAAGCAAACCCGACACTTCGAGTCACGCAGTTTAATAAAGAGAAAGCCTGTTGTCAATGGATTATTGAACAATTTGATATGATTTATTGTTACGTTCACCTAAGCACAGTGAAAAGTTTTCTTTGTGAGCAGTGCAGGCAGATCATAGTAGCAAGGACATACAGATCATTGGGTGAAAAAAAAACTTGGACAGAGAAAGGCATACAGGTTACACCGCACAGGACGTGTGCTAGGCAAGATCAGCATTATTTGAAGTTAGAGAGTTCATTCAACAATAAAATAATGCTAATGTTAAAGTATTAATGTCAATGAGATATTGCTGTATATGGAATGGTAATATTCCTGAACAGTTTCACTGTTACTGAAATACAAACAAAAAATGCTAGAGAAACCCAGCAGGTCTGGCACCTTCTCTGGAGAGAGATGCAAGAAAGAGTCATATTTTATTCTCAACATTAACTCTTTCCCTCTCCACAGATGCTGCCAGATCTGCTGAGTTTCTCCAACAACTTCTTTTTAACTTCAGATCTCCTACTTTGGAAATACTTTACTTTTATTTCACTAATACTGATGTTGGCTAAGTGATTGCAATTCATCTTCAACTGAAAGTCTATATATGACATGAATGTATTTATTTTCTACTTTACAAAGTGAATGGACTGTAATTTGCTGTGACAAGGCATTTCATAGCATCTGCTATCGGTTAATCTAGCCCTTGCATATGTAGGTTTAGAAATTTCTTTGTGAGTAAGTTGCCAAAAGTACAAGCTGATAACAGGGCAACAAGGGGAAACAAAGTGCAGTATCTTCGACCTGAGTGAAAAGTGCTGTACTGCTGGTCTTAACCTATTGGATTGAATGATTGTATAATTTACAGCCTGGGGGACAAAGAAGGAAGTGTTCATTAGAGTGGGTAAATTCAATATAAAATCCAACATGGAAGGATTAGATTAAGAGACCATGAAAAGCATTGAGAAGAGAACATTTTGTTAAAAAGTTAATATTTCAAATTGCGTATTTTGAAAATATCCAACAACAGGACATTTTTCACTGGAGCAAAGGAGGTTGAGAGGTGACCTTGTGGACATTTATAAAATCATGAGGGGGATAGATAGGGTTAATAGTAGATGTCCTTTCCCTAGGATGGGGGATTTCAAGACTAAGAGGAATATTTTTAAACTGTGAGGAGAGAAATTTAAAAAAGACATGAGGAGCAATTTTTTTTACACAGGATGGTTTATGTGTGGAATGAACTTCCTGAGTAGGTGGTGGATATGGGCACAGTTACAACGTCTAAAAAACACTTTGATAAGTACATGAATAGGAAAGATTTGGAGAGATATGGGTCAGGAACAGGCAGGCAGGTACGACTAGCTTAGTTTGGGATTATATTCGGCATGGACTGGTTGGAGCAAAGGGTCTGTTTCCGTGCTGTACAGATCTATAACATTTAAAACCTGACAGAATGAGAGTGCAAAGTTTTAAAAGTTAAAGATTAGTGTCAGAGTAATTGATAGATAGCGATTAGTAATTATCGCCAGATTAAAAGGATGCTCAGACTGAAATGGACAAGACTTAATTTTCCGTAGTTTAATTGATTTCAAATGCAAAATATTATCATTGTCATACAATTCAGTGCATGTCTTTAGTGATGCAGACTCTGAGACCAAGCTTTATGAAGGTAAGAGTGGAACCATGCAACTCGGCCTCCAACATCTAGCTATCTGAGTTGATCCAGATGCCAAGGGGCCTGAAGTTGCTGAAACAATTGTACATAAATAAATGTGAGTGCCGTTGACCTCACTGTCACTTTATGGAAAAATCTGGGCTGATATTATTGAAAAACTTTTTTTTTTTTAAGTTCATTCATGCAATGTGGGTTTCACTGGCAAAGCCACCATTTATTTCTCATCCCTAATTGCCCAGGAGAAGATGCTGGTGAGTTGTTACCTTGAACTGCCATAGTCCTTGGGGTGTAGGAGTACACACTGTGCCATTAGGGAAGGAGTAACAGAATTTCGACCCAGAAACATGAAAAGAACAGAAATGTATTTCCGAATAAGGATGGAGAGTGGCTTGGAGGAGAACTTGCAGGTAGTGGTCTACCTGCTGCCCTTGTCCATTTGGATGATCGAGGTCGCAGGTTTAGAAGGTGCTTCCAGAGGAGCCTTCATGATTTACTGGTGATAAGCATGGTGCACTGCTGGCTTTGTTGCTATGTCTGTTCTTAGTTGCAAGAGACTCCATTATTCTGTTTATAAATTGACTCTCCCAACTTATCATTGCAGAATTGTCAAAAAGAACAGAATAAGACCACTCCTGCAGAAGGAAGTCCAATGGATACTTTGTCACGCCACAGTGGAGCTCAGGACAGTGGCATTGGGAGTGACAGTGCACGAATTCGGATTGTTCAAATTGAGCAGCAAAGCGGAACTAGTCATCATCGCCTTGCAAGGCCTTCCCGCCAGTCTTCCATTGTGAAAAATTTGAATTTTATCCCATTTGATATATTTGTCACAGCCAGCCGTATTTCATTAATGACCTATTCAGCAGCAGATAGTTCCAAATCAAGGTCCCAGCAAGAAAGCCAGAGCCAGAAGGTGAGCGACAAACTTGGCAGGAGTACGCTAAACCGGAAAAGTATGGAGATCGATGGCGTGCCTGAGAATAAATCAGGCCAGCCAGGGATTGCAGTGCTGACAGCTGAGGATCTACTGAATAGTAATCCTCCATTGAGCATAGGGAAGGTTACCAGTCACTTGTCACTAGAGAGCCTTCATACACCAAGCAGATCATCAGCTCGACAAGCTCTTGGCGTCACTGTAGTCCGGCAACCAGGCCGCAGGGGAACAAATGATCTTCAGCTGGAGCCCTTCGTGTACTTAGTGATAGCCCAACCTTCCTTGTTAGTGAGTTGCCATCACCGGAAGCAGATGGTGGATCTGTCATTCTTTGATGCCACGTTGAAAGCTGTCCCGCCAGACTACAAGTGTTTGGGTAAGAACATTTCTCAGCTTCCAGTTTCACATTATGCCACAAATTGTTATCCGCGTGGATTTTAGTAAGGCGTTTGATAAGGTCCAACGTGGCAGACTGGTTAAAAAAAAAAAAGCCCATTTAAAGTTGGCTTAGTAACAGGAAATAAAGGGTAATGGTCGCTTGCTGCTCTTGTGAATGGAATGCTGTTTCAAGTAGTGTTCTACAGGACTTGGTGTTGGTTTGTTTTATACATTAAGGATTTGGACTTGCACGTCGAGTCACAATTGGGAAATTTGCAGTCTACACAAAAATTGGCCATGTAATGGACAGTGTAGAGGATAGCTGTAAACTCAAATGATATAGATGGGTTGGTGGTGAGGAAGGAAAGCAGAAGATGGAGTTGACTCTGATAAGTGTGAGGTAATGCCTTTAGGGAGCTCAAACAGTAAAAGGGAATATGCTGAGAGGGTAGATGAAGTGAGAGATCTTAGCATACAAGTGCACAGGTCCCTAAAGATGGCAGTACATGTAGATAAGGTTGTAAAGATGACATATGGAGTGCACTCCTTCATTGGCAGAGGTATAGAATAAAAAACTAGGGATATAATAATGAAGCTTTATAAGACACTGGTGAACCCTCAATTGTAATATTATGTGCAGTTCTGGTCACCACATTACAGGAAGGATGTAATTGCTCTGGAGAGAGTGCGAAAAGGATTGACTAGAACGTTGCCAGGGCTGGAGATTTGTAACTATGATAAGAGATTGAAGAGGTTGGGTTGTTTTCCTTGGAACAGAGAAGACTGAGGGGTGACATGATTGAGGTTTACAAAATTGAGGAGTTGAGATAGAGTAGACAGGAGGAAACTGTTTCCCTTGGCGGAGAGTTCAAAAACCAGGGGGTCATAGATTCAAGCTAAGTGGCAGCAGGATTAGAGGGGACATGAGGAAAAAATTTTCTTTTGCAGAGGGTGGTGGATGTCTGAGCTTTGCTGCCTAAGTTGGTGGTGGAGGGTAAACTCTTTCAGAAAGTACCTGGATCTACACCTTAAGTGCTGTAAGCTGCAAGGCTATCGGCCATGTGAGGGAAGATGGGATTAGAAAGGGCATCTGGCTGTCTTTGGGTCAGCATGGTCAACGTGGGTTACATGTCCCCCTTCTGGGCCATATCATTTCTAAAGTTCTGTGGTATCGCTTTATGATTGTACATGTTACACTTTCATATTTGAATTTTCTCCCTCTCACTCACCTCTGCCCCTCTTGGCTAATACAAACAATAATCAGGGAACTGTACTTTGTGAAGAGGCTGAGTGTGAATTTAATTGATGTGTACAAAATAATGAGGGGCCTAGAGAGAATGGTTAGAAAGGATGTATTGTCCTTGACAGAAAGGTCAGTAAGCAGAGGCCAAAGATTTAAAGTAATTGGTGGAAAGAGTGAGGGAGTTGAAAAATGTTTGCACCCAAAAGGTGAAGTGACTGTGGAACTTATTGCCCAAAGGAGTGGTGCAGACAGAAATCCTGACTCCACTTACAGAGTTTGTGATATTCTTTTGAAGTGCTGCAACCTATAGGGTATACTTTTATTTTTAGTTTTATTCGTTCATGCAACATGGCCTTCCTTGGCAAAGCCCTCATTTATTGGCCATTCCTAATTGCCCCTGAGATGCTACCTTGAATTGTGGGAGTCCTTAAAATGTGTGAACATCCTGTTAGAAAGAGAGTTCCAGAATTTTGGCCTAGTAACAGTGAATAGTAATGCTTCCATGCATCTACCTCCCTTGTCCTTCTTTTTGATACAGGTTGCAGATTGGAAGGTGCTGTCAGAGGTGCCTCAGTGAGTTACTACAGTGTATATTTTAAATGGTACATATTTCTAGCAGAATAATTGATAAAGGGAGTGAATGTTGAAGGTGTTGGATGGAATGCCACTCAAATTAATTGCTTTGTTGTATATTATATTCGGGTTTCTAGATTTTTGTTGGAGCTGCACGCGTTCAGGTAAGTATTCCATCATGCTCCTGACTTTTGCTTTGCAGATGGTGGACAAACTTCGGGAAGTCAATTATCTTTCAAAGAATTCTCTGGCCTGCTCTTGTAGCCACAATATTTATATGACTAGTCCAATTCAGTTTCTTATCAATGATGACCGCAGGTTGTTTATAGTGAGGGATCTAACAACGATAATGCCACTGAATGACAAGGGGTATTGATTAGATTTTCTTCTGTTGGTACTTGTGTGATGTGAATGCTGCTGGTTCTCAGCCCAAGCCTGGATGTTATCTGGGTCTTGCTGTATATGGACACTGACTGCTTCGATATCTGATGACATTGCAAATGTTACGCAATCATCAGTCAGCATCCTACTATTGACCTCTTGATGAAGAATCGATGATGAAGCAGCTGAAGATGGTCAGGCCTAGGCCACTACCCTAAGAAACTCAGGCACAGATGTCCTTGGGCTGAGATGATTAACCTCTAACAACCACAACCATCTTTCCTTGTGCTGTCTCTTGAAATCCTACAGAAGAACAGCATTTTTTGAAGCCACAATAAATTCTTTAATATCTTCACTGGGTAGCTGAACCCTTATTGCACACTAAACTATTTGTGCAGTCTCCATAGGCTTGTCTCTATAGGATTGTAATGTAATTCAAGCTTCCACAACACTTATGACTGTAGTGGGTGCTTTGCTGTGGCAGGGGTGAGGAAATTCCTGAATGCTTCATGCACTTCTTTATGGTGTAACGTGAATCTTCACTGTACTGCCTCCAAGGCAAGCATATCCTTTCTTGGATATGGAAATCAAAACTGTAGATCGTTCTCCAGATATGGTCTCACAAAAGCCCCATAAATTGTAGTAAGCAGCCAGCAGGACTTAAATTTAGTCTTCTTTTCCCTCATCCCCTAGGTGCAGCTAGCTAAACTCAAGCTGTTGTTAGGCCTACCAGAATCTAAGGAATTTTGGAAGAACATAGCAATACTTCCACTGTCTCTATAGCCATTTCTTTTAATACGCAGGGATGCAGACTAACTGGTCTGGGGACTGGTCACTCTTTAAGTCCAGTGGTTTTCCCAGCACTGTTTCCCTGGTGCTGGTAATTATTTTAACCTCCTCCCTTCCTTTCACTTCTTGAATTTTAAGTGCTTTTGGAAAGTTTTCCGAGTGTTCTACAATAATTAGGGTGGCACGGTGGCTCAGTGGTTAGCACTGCTGCCTCACAGTGCCAGGGACCCAGGTTCAGTTCCACAACTCAGGCGACTGTCTGTGTGGAGTTTGCACATTCTCCCTCTGTCTGTGTGGGTTTCCTCCGGGTATTCCGGTTTCCTCTCACAGTCCAAAGATGTGCAGGTTAGGTGGATTGGCTAAGCTAAATTGCCCGTAGTGTTCAGGGGTCTGTAGGTTAGATGTGTTACAGGGGGATGGGTCTGGGTGGGATGCTCCAAGGGTCGGTGTGGACTTGTTGGGCCGAAGGGCCTGTTTCCACACTGTAGGGATTCTATGATCTATGATCTAAGACTGTCACACAATGCCTCTGCCAATCCCTTGTTTTTAATTTGAAATTTCAGTCAGCGGTAGAAGGAAACTCCTCGCAGGCCACGAGCAATGCAAGAAAAATACCTCTTCCACTTATTCTTTCTTGCCTTCCGTCAGCAGCTGGGTTTCTCTGAGCTCTCGGCATTGTTTTAAAACTGAACTGAGATCCAATGCACACAGCCTTATCGCAATGTTTAAATTCGGGACCCACTCCCAAGGAGTTGATTTGCCTACCTTCTTCCAGCCCATCTCTTTAAAATTTGGAAGTGGCCATGGTGTAGGCAGTCGGGGGCAGCTTCCTGATTTCTTTTAATTTGTCGCTCTGCCCAGCTTTTGCAGGTATTTTAGTGGCAAATAGAGCTGGGATGGCAATAAATGATATGTGAAAGTAGAAGTTCACAGTTTTTATGATGAAGACAGATGCTGAGCTAAGGCCAAACAGATAAGCCAGTATTCATGATGCATGCAAATTTCCTTGCACTTTGAGAAACCCTTTTTATTCAAGCAAGTGAGAATCCCACTCATTAAAGTCTTGTGCCCATAAGAGATCTCTTTGGGAGAAGCACTGTCATTAGCTGAATCCCGGAGCTGGGCTGTGCAAACATTGCTACTGTTTCCCAAGCTTTTGTTGATCAGTGTTGTATTAATGTGGGTCAGCAGGAATTTGCCAACTTATTGAGCATAACCCACAGGAAGTTTTAATGCTACTGCTTTATAGAGTTATTGCATTGAAGGTGGCCATTAATCCCACTGTGCTTGTGCTGGCACAGGATTTGTTTTCATCCACTCATGAGACGTGGGCATCACTGGCTGAGCCAGCTTTCAGTGCCCAGCCCCTGTTGTCCTTGAGAAGGTGATGATGAATCACTGTAGTCCATTTGGTGTGAATGCCACAATGCCATTAGAGATAGACTTCCATGATTTTGACCCAGCAACCCTGGAGCAAAGGCACTGTACTTTCAAGCTGGCGGTAAGTGAATTGGAGGCGATCTTTCTTGAAGTGGTGTTCCCGTGTATGCTGCCCTTGTCCTTCCAGATGGCAGAATTCATGGGTTTGCTGACTAAGGAGTCTTGGGGAATTTCTGCACTGCATCTTGCGGATGATACCCACCGCTGCTATTGAGAATTGGTGGTGGAGGGAGCGGACGATTGTGAATATGGTATCAATCAAGTAGATTGCTTTGTCTTGGATGGTGTCTAGCTTCTTGAGTATTGAAGTTGCAGCCATCCAGGCAATTAGGGAGCATTCCATCGTACTCCTGGCTAATGCCTTGTAAATAGACAGGTTTTGGGGTGTCAGAAGGTGAGTTTCTCGCTGCAGTATTCCTAGCCTCTGACCTGCTCTTGTAGCCGCGATAGTTATACAGCCAGTCCAGTTGAGTTTCTGGTCGCTGGTAACCTCAAAAATGTTGACAGTGGGGGATTCGGTCATGGTAATGCCGTTCAATTTCAAGGGGCAATGATTAAATTGTCTTTTACTGGAGATGGTCAGTATCTGGCATGAATGTTACTTGTTATTTGTCAACCCAAGCCTGGATTTTGTCCACATCTTTTTGCATTTGAACATGGGCTGTGTCAGCATCTGAGGAGTCATGAATGGTGCTGAACATTATTCAATCATCTGCGAACATCTCCACTTCTGGCCTTTTGATGGAGAGAGGGTCATTGATGAAGCAGCTGAAGATAGACTGATCTGGCTACCTGGCTATTCCAGATAGAAGTCTCCCTCTGGAGTGATTATCCATAATGTCACAATGGCCCCTGCACATGTGCAGACACAACTCATGTCGGTCAGCTAGCTCGTGAGAGGCCATAGGAGATATCTGTGTGCATGTATGCCACTGATCTTACCACACTGAGGATAAGAGTACTGGGGAGGCATAAGTGGAGTTTAGGGCAGACAGATTCGAGCTTCCTCCAGATGCTAAATGGCTGCTGGAGTGTGCAGCCAGGGTAGGTGATGTCAGCTGGTTGTGACATTGTATTCCCATCCTTGTGGCCTAGAGGTCATTGGAGGTCAGCCATCTCAGTGCTGGGAGAACACTGCTGGAGTATCCTAGGCCCAACCAAATTCAACTGCTTCATCAATGAAACTCCCTCTAGCTTAAGCGGGCACGTGTGCTGATGATCACAGTGTTCAGCACCATTCACAACTTGTCAGATACTGACACAGTCCATAGCCAAATGCAGGAAGACCTGGGCTACATCCAGGATTGGACTGACAAGTACCAAGTAACTTTCAGATGTGCCATGCAATGACCATCTAAAACAAGGGAGAATCTGACCATCTTCCCATGTTATTCAATGATATTACCAAAGTTGAATCTCATACTATCACTATCCTCTGGGTTATCAATGAGTAGAATTTGAACTGGACCAGTCATAAATAACACTGGCTCTAAAGCAGGATAAATGCTGAAGTGAGTACTTCATATCTTGTCTATCCAGAGTGTGTCCACCATTCACAAAGTGCAGTTGAAGACTAATGAAATATTGTGTTTGCATATGTCACTGCTGTGTGGTATAACCTGTTGGTACTGAACTGCTATTTGTCAACCCATGAGAAACAATTGCATCTTGGTGATTTACAAGGTCTCTAAGTAGCTGTCAAGTGGAAAGCTGTAGCCATATATAATTTCAAAAAGATTCAGATGATTTCAAGATATATCCAAATTATGAATGGAACCAAGTATAGCATCTTGAAACTTGCATTCAATGTATAATTCAGAACTGGGCTGAATTGTGAGAGAGGCAAAGAGAAACCATGAGATGACATTAGCAGATAATATAAGAGAACCTATTGGCATAGTAATACAAAAAGATGGTAAAAGGAGGGAATGGACCCAGATGGGACTTAAAGGGGATTTGTGCCTGGAAGAATTGAACACGGTACAGGCACTAAATGAATATTTTGTATCTGTCTTTGCAAGGGAAGTAGATGCTAACAATTTTAGAGTGAAAGAAGAGATTATTGAGACATTGGATATGCTAAAAATTAAGAGAAAGTTTTGGAAGGTCTGGCTGTATTTTAAAGTTGATATGTTACTAGGACCATAAGACCTTAAGATTAAGAAAAATAATGGTAAAATAAAATTCTAGAGGTATTGCCCATGATTTTCTAATTCTTTTTGATATATGGGTGGTATCTAACAGGGCGACCTAAAGTAAATGCAGAGAGGAAGTTCCCAATGAATGGGGAGTCCTGACAAGGGGTCACAGTTTAAGGATACAGGGTGAGTCATTTAGGATTGAGAGCAGGGGCAATTTCTACATCCAGAGATTGGTGAGCCTGTGGAATTCTCTGCTATAGAAAGCCATTGAGACCAAAGCATTGGATATTTTCAAGAAGGAGCTCGATATAGTTCTTAGGACTGAAGATATTAAAGGGCAGAAAGCAGGAGCAAGGTAGTGAGCTGGATGATAAGTCATGATCATATTGAATGGCAGATCTCCCTTGAAGGGCTGAATGGCCTAATCCTGCTCCTACTTTCTATGTTTAGAAAGGATATAGTGGAAAATGAGGAAGCAGGGAATCCCCAAGTTGCGAACAGGTTCCGTTCTTGAATCCGTTGGCAAGTCGATTTGTTCGCAAGTCTGAACACAGTTCAGGACAACATACTATAGCCATCAGAAGTGCAGGAAGTGTTTGTATGTAAGATCTTTAAACTCACACCCCTGTATAGGATCACATTTGTAAGCATGAGTGTTCATAAGCTGGATGTTAATAAATCAGGGGCTCCCTGTATTTTCTTTAAGAGAGAATTCAAATTACCGGAGACTGCAAATCGATGTGAGGCAAGTGTCTACAGTTTACCTGCTTAAAGTTTGCATGGCAATGTTCATCCAAGAGAAGTGTGAAATGAAAAAAAAAAGTTGTGTTATAAATACTGCTCATCAAGGATAGACAAAAGTTAGGAATGAAGTGACTTGTCAATTTTCTCAATTGCTGAGAAGTGTTCAAATATCTAGAGACATTTGCCAAAACTGCTATGTATAGTAATGTGTTAACTCCTGTGGTAATGGGGAAAGTATTTTACCATTTGACATAGCTGTATTGTCACTTTATAATTAGCTTCAGATTAGTATTGCAGAATCTTCGACAGTCCTGGCAAGAGGGTTCAAGCTGGTGGTCAAAGCAATGTTAAAATTAGCAGTCTTTTTGAAGGCCCTGGTAATTACTTTGCCTGTTTTCACTTTGAGAGTGGAGAAAAAAATACATTGGACTAAATACGAGTGTTCCGCTTATTCAGAGTTACTCAGAAACACCTGGTGAAGAAAAAAATTGCGCTAGATGGTCATGAATTAATGGAATATTTGGGATTAGCATAACCCAAACAGTCATGATGTTGTGTAATTTGACATAAGCCTTCATATTTCATACTAAACTTGGAGCAGCAGCAGAAGAACTTTGCACAAGGAAATTTATTTTCACTTGGCTAAGTGTTATATCTGGTATTTGAAACAACTTGACAAATTTGGCACTTAATTTGGCAACGTCTGTTGCGCTATCTTTGACAAAAGAAGTGAGAAGAGTGATGTAATATGTTATTTAATTTTGTTTTTATTGTAGATCCTGGGAAGACTCTTCCAGAAGCTCTAGACTACAGTGTGTTTTGGTTGCAGACTGTTGCAGGTGACGTTGATCTGAAAGCTGGCATTCCCCCTCCGCTCATCTCTTTTCAAATCAAAGACTTCCTCAATGGGCCAGGTAAGAGCACAAGACATCTGTACTTTCAGGCAAGCTGATGGGCTGATCTAAATCACTAGGAAGAATAAAAAACATGAAGCCGATTACGGCAGTGAAGTCCAGGAGCTGTTCACTAAAATACATTCCTGAAAGTACAGCTTTTGCTTTACTCCAAAAGTTTGAATATGTGATCTGTTAATAGAAAGCGCGATTAAAATGATTCTCGGGTGGAACTGCACCCTCCATCCTATTGTGCTGGGTTTTATGTGCAAACTGGAACAGTAATTCTCAAAGGATTGAGCGAAGATTTAAAATTTACTCAAGTAAACTATATGTTGTAAACAATTTGTCAATTGGCAGAGGAAAGAGATAAACAGATGCAAGTTAGCAGAAACTTAATCTCATAATTCAAGCGTACAGGAAGCCCAGCAGTCATTTTGCATTATGAAAAGCTGAGTTCAACGATAGTAAGTAGCTAGACATTGAAACCACTAATGAATAGGTAATGGCAGGATATGGTAATACACTCGATACCACATGAAGGGGCAATTTTTCCATACATTTGGCAACAGAAGTAAGCATATATTTTTTCCAGATTGAAGTAACAGGATACCAGTGTTAGTGAGTACATGTTATAGTTCCTGCAGGAAATGGTGCTTACAACACCCAGACCTGGACGATAAGAATGTAATGGTGTATATTGTACGTGAAAGGCCAATTACTGACATTTCTGTGTGAGTTATAAATCGGTGATACAAGCCCGTCCATCATTCTGCTGGGCTTCAAATGCCTGTAGTTTAAGGTTCTCCATGGCTCACTTTAGTTTATTACTAGCTTGAGAGACATAGCTTTATATGGGCCTTGAGAAAATAGCAATAAAACATGACGTTGGCATCCTGTACACTTGAAAAAAAGAGTAGCATTGTGTTACCATTCTTCCTACATTCAAAATGTTACACATAACATAATTCAACTAACAGTTGCCCGTTTCCCCTGGTGCTGTATAAACTTGTGTGAGATTGATTGGTCCCCTTCCACCTGTCCCACACTGGTTCAGGATACCAAATAAGTATTTCTTCAAGAGATTCCTGAATTTAGCAAAGGATATAATTCCATCCATTAACAAGGTCATTGGTTTCCCGCAAACCTGTGGAATAATGTGACCAGAAATCCACTGGTGCAATAGCTCCGACAGGTGATAGATTAGTTGGAACAAATTGGAACCATTATGAACTGGCATTCCTGCTTTCCATCAAGCCTTTTTTGTTGGTGGGGGGAAATGTCGTCATTTTTGCACAGTGGTTGGCCCAGAAAAGTGCCTGCAACAGGTTAATTTGAATCATATGAAGTGTCACCGGCCTCAGCTGACACAAGCTTCATTCCATGTGTGAAACTGTAATAAATCCATTCCCAACTGAGGTAAATCCCCCACGAGCTGGTGAACTAATCCAGGCATCATACTGGCATGCTCGACCTCCATAATTTGAAGCAGGGTGACCCTGAACTCAT